GTACTGTCTCCCCACTTTCCTGTCATGTAACTATCACTATGTAATTAAGGCAAAAAGGGAAGAGATCCTTCCGCTGCCTACATTGCTTTGCCAGGTTGATTGCTCAATCTACTAAAATGAAAACTGCTCAGCTGTATATGCAACTACACTCTCATATACTAAAGGGTTGAGATGTAATTCCACGCTTAAAAAGTCAAGCAACTCTTGCCCTTTTTTACCATGTAAAACCGCCACCTGCAACAGCTTTCAGCAATCACACGGTAATTGCTCTAAGAATGGCTCTTTCTAGTGTCTTGTCCAATTTCTTTTCACTTGCATCTTCCAGTTGCTTGTACTATTTCTTAAAACACTATACAATAGTTTAAATCTTATGTGTACATGTATTTGGAACAGTTCGTCAAAATTGTGATTGTGTTGGTTTTACACTGTGCGAGTCATTTGTTTGAATACAAATAAAAAATAAAATCCATCTTAATCTTAAACTCGTGAGTTTGTATTGTGTGTTTGCTCTTCACTCAAGTGGTCCAAATGATGAGGTGGGGAAACGAAATATTGAGCACATCACCAGTTTTCTAGGTTTTTCTAATATATTTCTAAATATGAGATTTACATCAAATTCTCACCAGATGTCAGTACCAACCCATCCATTCCACACATGCAAAGAAATCACACATGGCAGATCTTGTAAGGTGATGGGAGCAGGAGCAGGCTTGTTTTCCCAGCACATCCTATACTCAAAAACTGACACACTACTGACTGTAGTGTGGGGGAATTTGTAGGCCGATCATCTTGGCCATTTTTGCACATTTTGTGATTTGTTTCTGGGTGAAATGTGTATATCCCAGGAGAAATTTGCTCTGTTGTTTTTCAGTTCACCTGTCAAATATGGCTGATTTCTGTGTCTCACTTCCTCACTCTCTCGAAAGAAGGATAAAAATGAATATATGTGATTAGTGGTCATAAAGCAGTCTGACACTGGAGTACGCCACTAGATGGCACTATTGTTTCATCTTTAAAACCAGATGAGGCCCAAACTCACAGCATACTAACATTCACGTTTCAGAGGAGGCTGTTATCCAGTGAAAATATAAATTTAGTATTTTAAAAAAATAAACTTTTTTCAAAGATACGAAAATATGCTAATTTACTGTCTTGCCACCACTCACACACGTGTCTCTTTAACATGTAACAGGTTAGCTTAATAAAAGTAACGGCCTGTTTTACTAATGAAGAAAAGTGTTGAAGTAAGGAATAATGCAGTAGTAGTGTTACAGTCATTCTGTGGAAGACGGCAGTTGAACAATGCAGCATGACAACAATGTTTGCAACCATGTGCAGTGTACTTGCTTTCAAAGATGGGGACTAGGTGCATGACCAATTGCAGACAGTTGGCTCTTTAAAGCAACTTTGGTGTTCAACATGTTGATAAAGGGGGTAGTAAGACCGATTCATGTCTGATATCACTTTGCAATTAAATGGGCCAAATGGGGTCAAGTTGGCATCTACGTGCAATCTGTTTGTGATAATACGGTGATTAAGTGAGATAAATCTGCAAAAATCAGAAATGTGTTGCCATCTGTCGATGTCTACATAGCGAAATCTACCTTTAACAGAAATTCACATTAACTGCTGCCACTCAGAGCCAAGGGGAGCTTGGATTGAAAGTGACTGGACTTGTTTAAGTTAAAGAAGTCTTCGCAAGCTCCTTAGAGTACTATGACCTGGATGACAGAGAACCTGCACAGACATGTCTTCCACAAATAGTGACTTAGTTGTTACAGGATGGCAATTTAAGAGCAAAATGGTATAGGCACTGGGAAACCTTGCTGTTATATAGGAGTATAACCAGAAAACCACCAGTCTGCAACTAGCTGAGTTGAGCACCCTGTTTAGATGCCTTGGGGCAACTGTTGTTGGGATTTGGTGCTATATAAATAAAACTGAACTGAATTGAAGTTATTGGAAAACCTTTGTCAATCTGTCTGACAGTGAGTTGGCCTCACTTCACGATTCCTTGGAAACAAGTTGCCTGACACCAGGTGAAATGTGCAATCGCTAGGCAACCAACACTTTATTTTTTCTCTCAGTTGCGAGGAAGTTGCCATCCTTTTTTTTTACTTTAATGTGACTGAGGCATTAGAGGTGTGGATTTTATTTCTTTCAGACTGAGCCTGGCTAGCCGCATTTCTCCTCCTCCTAATTGTTCACTTTCTCCTGATTTACGTTTAACACAGACACGAGAGTGATTTTAATGTGAGGACAAGAAAGCAGGAGAATACTGAAATATCGAGCTATTCCCTTAAGATGCTACATTGAGTCCATAACCCTCTGCATTTAGCTAATCCTCGAGAATGGCCTCGGAAATCCTCATGGTTTTAATTGTATTTTATAAATCAAATTACCCTGATAAGTAGCTTATGCACGAATTATTTCTGTCAGTTTTTAACGATGCATAGAGAAGTCAACATAAAAAAAGGAGATCTCTCTGTGTTTTCACATTTAAATGAGCTTTATTGACATTGAAAACCATGACTCAATTCACCATGAAGGTGTGGGCTTCTGCAGACATATAAGTGTGGCAATAATTAGCATAAATATATTACAAGCCTACGGGACTTGTGAAGGAGTTGCTGAGAGGAAACCGAAAGAGCAGCAGAAGCTGTGAAACTGATTCACCTTCATTTGTTTGCAGGGTACCAGACATTTGGTTATCTGCAGTCCTTTGGCATCATGCAGATCTCTGATGGAGAGCAGCTGACATCCCATTACCCACTCAGCCATTGAAATGACAAGGGAAAATGCTAAGCCAGGTTGTTACTTGAGGGGATGGATTATGATTAGCCTAGTTGTGACACAAGGAATCTGTGAGTTTGCAGAGGACAAGTTCTGTTGTAGTGCATTTTGACTGAAAATAGTTTGGTCTTTATTCCTTTGTAATGACAAAGAAGCTGGCGAAGCTTCTGGCAGTATATCTGAAAGTTTAAAGCATTAAGAGGTATACATTTGGGAGGTATTATAGCAGCTTGAGTAGCATCACTAAATATAGATCGACTTTGAGGCCAAGCTTGTCAACATTGTAAGATTTTATGACTGTGCTGAATGCGAAACTAAAATGTTGTTATTGTGGTATTGCACCAAATAAAACACCGAACTCTCATTGTAATTATCTTATACTGTGTCATATCACAGCTGCAGGCAGTTGGCTTAGCACAAAGACTGAAAATAAAAAGCAGAACTTCATTGATTGCCTGGCAGCACCAGTCTTTGTGTTGTATAAAAGCAACCAGTTTTCCCAATAACTGAATAAGTGCGCTTCCTAATTTGTAACACTTTTTCTTTAAAAGAAGCATTTGTTTATTCGTTTAGCGCCTTACTTGAGTACTTTAGGGCATCAAAACAAGATAAAACCATCTGGAATTTTATCGCCCTCTAAAGATGCCACAAAAAACATGTTTAGCACACACATTCAGCAGCATCCAAAATTATCAGGGGTTTGATATCGTTTTTCTTATGTTTATATTAATTCTCCAATTAACTCTGTGTCTGGACTCTCCTGGTGAAATATTTGGCTCTTTTTACAAGCAACACGGCTGCTGAGAGTGAACCAAAACAGTAAAGCTGTTCAATAGAGTAGAGGTGTTGGTTGATATTCTCTGTGGGCTTGTCCTTCTGGATGACCTCTTTCACATTTCACTTAGACATTTCGCCTGTTTTTACTATGAAATATTGATTGGTACAGCTGTCAAGTTCATTTACTGAATCTTAATTTTGCTTATTTAAGACAAGAAATGGATTCAGACAGAGGACTGGCACCTCCTCCACAATGAGTGGGAGACTAAGAATGATCTGGGGCTGTGCGTGTGGATTTTTAATCAACTCTTTACTGAAAAGCTCAGAAAATGTACCCCAGGCTGTCCCCATAAAAGTCTCACCGTGACTTTTCTGTCTTTTCAAATGTGCTTTTATGGTTCTTAAATATTGAATCTTACAATTCTCCAAACTGAGCGCACAGTCAATTTCAGTATACATATCAGATGTGAATTCAGGTTTTTTTTTATGTAGCACCAAATAACAACAACAACAGTTGCCTCAATAAATTTTCTAAAGTAAAAACTCTGCAGTTTTGGAGAGAAAACCCCAAATATCTCCTCTTAGAAACACTTGGTGACAGTGGGAAAGAAAAACTCATCAACAGAAAGAAACTTCTGGTAGAACCAGGATCAGGGAAAAGAGAAGAGAAAAAAAAGAGCACGGGGAGACTGAATAAGACACACACAGAGAAGATACCGCTTAATGACATGCAGCAGTGGTATATAAACCACCACCATGTTTATGAAGTTTTTAGGGTCAAATACTGTAACCCCGTTTTTGTCTAAATTTAGAAGTAGGAAATTAGTGGCCATCCAGGCCTTTACATTTTTAAGACACCATAATTTAATTAACCAATTTGCGTTA